AGAGCTTTTGGGAAGTTTGACCCTTCAGTCTTTCCAAAAATGCTTAGTGCGTACGTGAGGCCGCACGCGGAATACGCTATTCAGGCGTGGCAACCCTTGCTCAAGCACCATCTCACCGCGCTCGATACTGCATAACGTAGGGCAACGAAAAGCGTCAGGGGTTTGACCAACTTCCCCTACCCACTCAGGCTGGAGACTCTCAAAATATACAGTGGACGTTATCGGCGTCTAAGGGGCGATCTCATAATGGTGTACCAGATCCTGAGAAACCCCAACCACCCATGCCATTCCCTTCTGATACTCAGTTAAAACACCCCGCTAAGAGGTCGTCAGTGTAAACTGGTCACGCAGTACAGCCGCCTGGAATGTCGGCGGGACTATTTCTCCCTTCGCGTGCCACAGCCTTGAAACGCCCTCCCGGAACATGCAATTAATGCACCCACCCTATCCCTTTTCAAAAAACGCTTTGACGATACTGTCACATTTACACTACGTGATGTAGCCCATGATCACCAGATGCTGGCACTAATGCGCAACAGACAGTGGACGGTAGATGCGGATACTTGCTGGTTGAAGACCTTGGAAGCCATGGCTCAAGATCGATGTCAATGGCGGACGTGTGCACCGGTGTGTTACAGTGTCCTTTCTTCCTCCCCCTAAAAAAACAAACCGAAAAAATATTTCAAAAACTGTGGGTGGTAAACTAGACAAAAAAGCTTTTGTTGTCGTTGCTCTTTTCTTATTATTCATACTGTTTTCCTATTCAGCCATGATTCCGATGGCACAATATCTGTAACACTGATTGTTATGTATAGATAGATAGATATATGCATATATATGCATATATATATATATACATATATATATATATATATATATGGAAGGTGCCATAACCCTACTCGAGAATGAGTCGCTCCAAACCCCTTGCACACAGTTTGATAAACGCTACTACTGTGGAGACTGGATTTCTGTATCCCGTCGATCTGAGATAGCTGCACACGAGTAAGCGTTGTCCCTGCTATCTTTTTATTTTTTTTCTCGCTTATTACGTGGTCAATAATCACTCCCCATATTGCTTTGTGTGCGCACATTCTAATTTCAAACTCCCTTTATACGGCAGTGCAGATAAATCTGTAATCACCCGAACGGACGATTCCATTATCCTTTGATCTCTCTTTTCTCACTCTAACCACCCTACGGGACATGTCAAGCACCTGTTTTCTATCCGTTATAAACCATTGTTCATTGTAGCAAAGACTCGCTTGTACCGCTCCGGCATCGAATATGTCGCCTCTAGCCATTCTTTGCCTATTTTTGTCGCTTCGTGCAGCAACAGGCTAATAAAGCTATACTGTGTTTGCTTGAGCCATCATAGCCTGCACTGTTCCAGTATTCGAGCATTTTAATAGGTTCAACCACATAAGATACGCGGAAGCACATAGAGCGACAGGAGACAACTGGATCACTGGTTCTTATCGAGACAACTGACGCCCATGATGAATAGGATGGATCGCACAATCACCCACTGCTTATGCAGTTACTTTGCAATCGTGTAAGCGGAATGTAGCCGGAATATCGTACAGTCCCCTTATTCCCCTGACTTTGATAACAAGCTACAGCTGTAAACCAATGAAGCTAGATCGGTTTAGGTGGATTTATGATAGCCAACAGTATTCCTGTGATTGCACTGCTATTTTCGCCAACACACCCACATGAAATGCGCGAAAGCACATAGAGCGACACGGGACAATCGGGTCGCCTACTTTGCTCGAGGTGAACAACGCCAATGCTCCAGAAGTAGGCTTGCATAATCGCCCACTGCTTGCACAGTCCCGTTGCATTCGTGCGAGTACAATCTGGCCTGAAAATCGTCTCGTCGTTTTAATCCCTTTCTTTGATAACGACTTGCAGCAGTAGACCAATTAAGCTATGCTGTCACGATAGCCTACACTAATCCAATAATCGAGCAGCTGAATAGGTTACTGATACTGATACTGATTAGAAGCAGCGAGTAGAGCATACTCTGTGTAGCTACATCAACTGTCGCTCTTGGACATTAACGTATCAATTATCGTTCCGCTCTCTATGTTTTGCCTCTGCAAAGTGTTTGTCTAGAAGCTTCCTAAATTCGGCCACTGAATTCGCCTCTATTAGCGGCTGCGGCAGGTTGTTCCAGGTATTCACCACTCTACGTTCGAAACAAAGGTTGTGGACGACCCGCTTCAACTGTGGTACGATAAGTTTGTTCCGGTGTCCTCGCGTGCTGCTTGGTGTGCGCAGATGAAGCAGTTGTCTCAACATCTGGTAATCACTCAGATGTAATATCCGGTGCGTCATGATTAGGTCAACCCTCAGCCGATCATATGCGAGGGTGTACAGCCCTAGTTTCTTACATCGGTCTTCATATGGCATACCTCGTAAGTTGGGAATCAGCCTAGTGGCTACATGCTGCACCCGCTCAAGATTTTCTACCTCGCCCAGCGTGATGGGACAATATGCGGGAAAGCCGTACTCTATCATTGGTCGTATTATCGAGACGAAGAGGCGAGTAGCCCACACGAAGTACGCCAAGGCCCATAGAGTGACAGGAAACAACAGGATCGCCGCCTATGTGCTTCATCAGCTACGGTCCAAGTGATGGGATTGGCCAAGATTTAATTCAATGGGAATCGCGGTCCACATTGAGATGGCGCATCGTAATCCATTCTCAAAACGAGTGCTTCACAACGACCCTCCAATGCTAGGTAACGTTTGTTTAAGTCATGGCAGACTACGCGATTGGAGAGTCTAAATATCCAATAGTCACATAGCTACACAAATTCAAGTGTAAAGTCAGAAGCACATAGACTACGAGAAGATAGATGGGGAGATAGGGTGATACTCAGTCACCGCCTTTGATCGACGCGATCGAGGTCCACGCTTAAGAGAAGAGTTTGCAACGGCACCCGCTGGTTACACAAATCAGGTGCATTAGCATGACTACAATGTAGTCTGAACATCGTCTACTTTCCTTCCTCCTCATTTCTTGCAGGCAAATTGCTGATTTTCTCCTTAAAATCTGATGTGTCCAAAGTGGTTTGCTAAATGTCGGTTTTGTTTTACAACACGTCCAAAGTGTTATGCAAAGTGTCCAATGTATTTTTCAAAACGTCCAATATATATATATATATATATATATATATATAATTAATTGCTTTTGGGCATTTGATGCTGCGATGTTCTGGGTGAGTTTAATTGGGGCGTTATGTGTAGGATGAGATTGATGTGGCTGGGTGATTTTGGATTTTTTATATATGATGCTGTTCTAGGCTCTTCTAGCGTTTGTTTTTCAAACAGATATTCTTGCTTTTATTTTCGTGTATGTTTTTGGGTTTGTTCGTTTGCTCTCTTACTCCTATTAATTTCTTCGTTTTTTGCCCTGAGCATGTTGCTGCTATGTTACAGAATTCTTTGATTCACTTCCAGTTGTTTCTTGGGGTGTATGAGTGCAGTTGTGTGTTAACGCTCTGTGCTGTTCCGTATATTTCTTTGAGCGGCTGAGCTACTCTACATTTTGCTTCCATGCGCCTTGTCTACCATTACTATTGGTCTACTGGCCCTACATATTAGAATTCGAACTCGTTGGCACCTGCTAAAGTGAAAATGATTCAAATTTTGAATCTACTTTTTTTTAAAATCTTTATCGGCTTACTGGCTAGGTTTAGAACCGAAGGTTTCGAATGAGAATTAGTGTCGTTCCTCTGCCCATGTTTCTGTATAATGGAAGGGTCGGGACCCATTTACTTTTGGTATTTCAAAATTACCACCATACTGCTTCCCTGTGCTGTGTGCGACAGAGCGGATGATTCAGTACAGCCGAGCGCTTACTCCGCTATTCTTCGTTTTCTTCCGTTTCTGTTTCTTCTCCATCTCCATCCATACCTTTCCTTTTATATTCTCAGTATAGTTGATGGCAGCTACGGTTCTATTGAAGTTTTGCGACCGGCAGCTTTACATCCACGGTACTAACTGATCCCCTGTCCTCAACAACCCGTTATCACGCCGGAATGTTCTATTCTCTGGTGGCGTTCGACCTTCGTACCACAGGAATGCTGGATTATTAAACTACGTTCGGAGGCACACCGGGTACCTTCGATGTTGGCACGTGGTGCCTCACACCTTTCCTAGCGGCCATTGTATTTCATCGCTGCACCTTTTTGGCGAAGCCGTGAAGTGGCCAGTCAACGACGTGGCAAAGAACTGAAAGAATCAAGCTAGAGACTTTGTCTGTATATTGGTTCTCGCCTTCTTGGATAGTGATCGACCACATCACTGGCTGGAGGCTTTATCCGACATGATTCGTACGCGGAGACAGTGGCACCCTGACATACGGTCTCTCGCGTTCAGTTCTTGACGATAATAGTCGACTACTTTTGATCTCTTATTTCTCGACCTGTCTTAGTTATATCCCACGTGTGTTCCATTTCATTTGTGGAGTGATACCTGTATCCGTCCAGGTCATAGTTATGACTGAATTGAACCGATTTTTACATTGCGCTGCATTACATGGTGTTTAGTTGTTTTCATGGATTACATATCATCTGTATCTGCATGTGTTATATGGTTCGCATGCAGGTATGTGTGCTTTCAGCACTGGAGAGTGTGCTTATGGCGTTCGACGCCATGATCATGCGTTCTTTCGTGCACAATCACCATATATGGAAGTTTGCTTGGTTCCGGTCGCGAAGTGCATCATTATTTGGCATTGCCTCGCAGCCGAACTTGTGATAACTTGTTAATGGTGAGTGGGTAGTATTATGATGCCGCACATTTACTAAGCTTTATTTCGCCCTGTGTTCGTACTGTAAAATTTTTTGGTCAAGCGAAATCCTTGTTACAGTTTTTTCAGCTCGTTTGTTTACCCTGTGATCACTTTATGATTCCCAATCTTATTATCACTTACTAACTTTCGTTTCTCCTCTTTCAGCCCTGTCTGTCTTTACTTTGTCCTCCGTTTTAAAATGGTCACTCCCGAAAACAAACTCCGCCAAATGCAGGAGGAGATGAACAGGTGATTGCACATTTTGTTTTCAATTATGTTTTTATAGGTTCGAGGCGGAAATAGCAAGCCAGATAGCTGCGCCTGTTCCCGCTGCTCCCACTGTCGCTACTGTTGCTGCCCCAGCTACCCCGCTTACCGGTGGTTTCGCTTTTCCATCTGCCACCGCTTTCATTCCTCACTCTGTTCAGACGAATCTTCAAGCCACTGGTGGGTATCTCTAGCTTTTTAGGCATTTTGCTCATGGCTCGGTGGGCTTTGTGAATTTAACCTACACGTAGGGCATTTGTCTATTCTATTTCCTTTATATCACCCTTGTAATGCATATCGAACTCTCCTTACGTTGCAATCAAGCGTTTCGCAAGATCTCGGCAGTATTATGTTATCGATTAAGCCAAATAATTGATCCCTTAGCTGCTTCATGCACCAACAATTTATTGAATGCTGTATTGTGGGAGCTATAACGCACAACAAGCAATACAACGCCTTAACCAGACAAGAAAAAAAGGCAATGAATACCCTGAAGTCTGATGAAACAATCATTATCCTACCAGCTGATAAGGGACGAATGAGTGTCATAATGAATAGAGTGGATTACATTGAGAAGGCTACACGTCTCTTGAATGACACAACAACCTACAGGTGCATCGACACCGATCCAACTTCGCAGCTGACAAACAAAGTAAACAAAACATTGAAGCAACTTCAGGAATTGAAGCAAATCACGAAAGAAGAGCGCGACAGGATGAGAGCCCGCGACTCGAACATCGCGCAGTTCTACGGACTCCCAAAGGTGCACAAAGATAATGCACCGTTGCGGCCTATCGTGTCTCTCCCTGGAACGCCCACCTACAACCTGGCGAAAGAAATGTGGAGACGCCTCAAACATTTAACTTATGGACCGCAATATTCCATAACCAATGCCCAGCAGTTTCTGCAAAAGATCAAAGACCTGCGATTAGATAATGATGAAACAATGATATCATTCGACGTGACTGCACTCTTCACGTCTGTCAACTTGTAGACAGCAATAGCGGTCATCACGGAACGGCTGAAGGTCAGTGAACAACAAATCGGCAAAATGACGACCGAAAATGTATGTAAACTACTCCACTTGTGTTTGTCGACCCACTTCTTATTCAATGGAAAGATTTACGAGCATTTGAAAGGCGCACCAATGGAATCACCTGTGTCAGGACTCATCGCAGAGATGGTTATGCAGAAATTGGAGGAGGAGGTACTACCACTCATCAATCCGAAACTGTGGGTTCGGTATGTGGACGACACTTTTGTGATAATCAGACGCAACCAAATAACAGTCGCACAACAGCTATTGAATAACGCCATGGAAGGGATCCAATTTACAATAGAACTGGAGAAGGAAAGGCAGCTCCCTTTCTTGGATGTATTAGTAACAAGAAGTATGGAAGGCGAGCTGCAAACATCGGTCTACAGAAAAGACACACACACAGACCAAATTCTGAACTTTAACAGCAACCACCCGAAATGCCACAAAGTAAGCTGTGTGCGGACACTGTTTCGCAGAGTGCAAACACACTGTAGTACCACAGAAGCAAAGCAACTGGAAGAAAAATACTTACTTAAATGTTTCCAACTCAACGGATACCCACGAAGCTTCATCCGAAGGTGTCTGCATCACAACAACGTCAACATACAGCCTACAACAACAACAACAACAACAACAGCCGCAGCGGCAACAACAACGACAACGGAGAAACGGGTTTTTCTGCCTTATATGAAGAACATATCGGAAATGGCAGCCAGACTATTCAAACAGCATCATCTCGTCGTAGCACACAAACCAACTGCCACGTTGAGAAAAACGCTTTCAAAACCAAAAGAAAAACTGCAGGCACATGAACAATGCAATGTGGTATAAAAAATACCTTGCCGAGATTGCGAAAGAGATTATGTTGGCCAGACGGGAAGAAAATTGGTAACAAGGATACAAGAACATAAGAGAGCCTGTATAAAGCATTATGCATCGTCGATAGTCTCAATGCATGTAGATGAAGAAGGACATAGCTTCGATTGGAGCAAAGCAGAAGTCCTGGCACGGGGTGAAACGAGAAAAGAAAGAGAATTCTTGGAAGCTTGGTTCTCAACGAAACATTCAATCAACATGCGCGTGGACATCGATTCAATATACGAACCACTACGACAGAAAGAAATAAAGAATCTTTTGCCACGCGGTTTGAGGCAGAACAACTCGGGCGCCGACTTTAGCCTTGGGGAAAGTGGGTAGATGTCATTGGACCTAAATCGACACTGCCACGTTCAAAGTCATCTGCAGGTCGATCATGGAGGGAGAATTCATTTAGTAAGCTTGTACGCTACATATCACTGCACTGAGGATGCCACCTCGCATGGTGGCGAAACGTTTGCGAGAAAACCGCCAAACTCGGAGAACAAATGAACAATTGAATAAATAATACTTCAATAATAATGAAATAGAGGGGTTAAAAAAGTGTAACGCTGGATTCATGGGGGCAGAGTATCACAGCACGTTTGCCATTGCTCACGGTTTCTTGACATTTCCTAGAGGGTTTCCAGCCAAGTGTATTCATGGTCCTTGCACACCCAACCGGGGAGTCGAGGGCGCCCGACCGCGACCAAATGTGAGGTCAACGTCTTCATACTTTTGGACCAATCTTTCGCTGCATACCTTGTTTTTGATTCCAGCCGAATTCTGTGCGCACAACTTCTGCTGGCTCCACGGCTGGAAAGTCGGATCGAGCAGGATCGACTGTTGACACAGATTCAGTCAAGTAGCGCGGTTTCAGCACGTATACTCAACACAACCACTGCGGCGGCAAGACCAGTGGCTTCGGCGATTGTGTCTCCGGATAAGCGCAATGTGAAAATGCCCGTGAAACTCGCAGATGGTGAAACCAGTCGTAGCGTCATGCTAGCATCTTGTAATCGGGTTTCAGGGAAACAGCAGACATCAGTGATACTAGTCTCAAGCGTGCGAGCAAAGGCTGCTTGTGATCCGATCTGCATCAGCGTCCGGACGTTGAGTTGCCAGTTTGATTTGGGAACGAGCCGCTAGTAAAGGTTTGCCAGTACTACTTGGCACACGCTGGGACCTAAATTCCTGATCCGTATGGCGAGAACACTCGCCAAAGGCGTCACAGTGTTGTGAACTCGGAAACGGAGAGGGATTACTAAGAATGAAGGATTTGAACAAACGTAAATAAATTAACCGAACTGTGGTGCGGTAGAGCGCGATATAGCATGTTCGGTCGCCATACCTCGGTCGAGGATAGCGTTGGCAAAGAGCAGAAGGTCGTTAAAGCATTGGCCTATATGTTGTGTGGACATGATACTTCCCGGTTGCCCAGGCCGAGAAAGAGGGTTGACTTCGGCGACCCCACCCTTGGCCTTTGGTCTAAAGACCTGACCCGCAAGGCAGCGGGGGCGATTGACGTATATCGCATGCCGTTGGGAACCGGCTACCACGATGATGATAACACGGCTTTCGATCAGGAAAAAACTACTCAATCTGCCCAAGAAGTCCAAATGAAGCAACACAAAGACCATGGGAAATCTCCTAGACCAACGCACTCGCCAAGAGCATGAAAGCCGTTGACAGTTTGCTGGTTCATACGCCGGTGGCCATGGAGTTAGTTCATCCACTCTCTGCTGAATACTCGCTTCTGGTCGCAGAAGTAACTGGTTAGTGACCCTATAGACGGTCACATTGTCTTTGACATACCCTTACGAGCGCTCTTGTAGTACTTCACGTGGAACCAGGTGACCAGCCCAGAAATTCGTACGCTTTGGGACGTTGCCACTGATTCTCCGCGACTGGTTATTCATCACGCCTGCGAACAGCCGAAATTTATTCGCAGTTACCTCTCGAAGGAAGGCGTTTCCCGATCCGCAACCTGGGGACGCGCCCGGTGGCGTACAGCTTCACCGGACCAACCGCTAATCATTTCACTTCCGGGAGCTGAATTGGTAGATCACAAGCGACATCAAACTGCCCGACAGATTGCTGCGGTGGTAATAAAGCAATAGCATTCGTTTACTGTGGATGTTGCAATTAGGGTGGTTGCGTAAGTGCGATTCAGAGCAGACCCGAATTTGTGCAGAATGTCGCTGGGGATATATTTGTTCTCTTTCAATGGCAGGAACGGATAACGGGTTGTTGCAGCATCACCGTATTTACATAAAGCAGCAGATAAAGCTTCAAAGTTCTAGCTCGTTCGAACGAAAATGCTAAGTAATCCGATCAGAGGTGATCGATGACCTATCGGCGGCATGTTCCTCAACATGAGTCGTTGTGATTAGTGGGCCAGGGCAAACACAGAATCTGAACGAACCGTTTTTGAGCACATAAGTCTGGGTTCTGGTGGCGGATGGCAATTGCCTCAGCTGCTGCTAGTAAGCGACATTTTACCGCTCGTGAAAGGCGTCCAGGTACACGGTAAATGGGTTGGAAAGATTGGCGGGTATCGATTTGATGAATAGAATCAACCAAGTGTGCCAACACGGCGCTCATCACAGTTTTTCTACCACCACTGCGTAGATTAGCTGGACAATGCTCGCGTATTCTCTCAGACAGCCTCCTAGTAGTTCTTCCGATGTATCTTGCTCGACATGAACAAGAGAAGGAATATACACAATAAGAAGTACATGACCAAGGAAGTCTATCTTTGAGTTGGGGCCTCACGATTGGTGTTGAAGTAAAACTTAGCCGCAAGCTCGCTGCGTAGTACGTATGGCTCATAGTGTCGGGTAATCTTCTAGATGTTGCCTGCGCTATACCATCCCCCTTGAACGGCAACGACAAATAAACCGGTTTCTTCTCTACCGAAGCTGGTTTAGCTCTCATTTCTCTGCACTCCATATATTTACGAACAAATTTTTCTGGATAGCCGTTTCTCTCGAAAACGCCACTTAAGAAACTGAGCTCGTCCGCAAGTGTGTCCTCAATACAAATCCTTCTGGCCCTTTCGGTTAGACATCTAATCAAGTTACGTTTCTGATTTATTGGGACAAAACTGGCAAAATGTACATATTGTCCGTTCCACGTTGCTTTTCTATGCACCCTCCGTTGGACTGATCCATCTGGTCTCCTACTAAGCTGAACGTCTAGGAAAGACATCGTGTCATTGCCTTCAGTTTCTAGGGTGAACTTGGCATTAGGGTGCGCTGAGTTAAAATGGGATAGAATTGTCTCTGGGCAACAGTGCCTGTCTGTCACGCAAAATATATCATCCACATATCGTCCGTAATATGGTAGAATGGTAATGACTCCGCTCAGATAAGTATTCTCTAATTTGCTCATGAACACATCAGCCATTAGCGGTCCAAGCGCTGAGCCCATTGCTACTCCATCTTTTTGTCTGTATATGGCCCCATTAAACTGAAATTGTATGTATGTAATCAGCTGGTTACATCGACAAGATGACCGCCATCCTTAGTGATCGCTCGAAATTCCGGAAAATGGAGAATGAACAGGACAAAACTTTAGCAATAGAAATGTTCGTTACTAAGCTTCTACGGCGCTTGAAACAGAAAAACATGGTTGACTCCGCCACGTTCGAATACATTCGTCCCACAGGGACGGTGATCCCGAGACTCTACGGCTTACCGAAGATGCATGAGGAAGGACTTCCACTAAGGCCTATACTAGGCATGTGCAATTCACCGTATCACGCAACAGCCAAGTGCTTAGCTAAGCTTCTAGAGCCGGTGAGAAATACTATTTCCAGGTACAGCCTACGAGACACATTCAGTTTCTTAGACTCCATAAGACAGCTTCAGCTTACCGGAAGAAAGATGTTTTCGTTGGATGTGGTGTCGCTCTTCACCAATATTCCGTTAGAAGAGACAATAGATTATATATGTGACACCGTTCGAGACCATACTGGGTATCGGCCTTTCAAGTGATCGATTGGAACAGCTACTCCTGCTGTGTACTAGTAACATACAATTTCAGTTTAATGGGGCCATATACAGACAAAAAGATGGAGTAGCAATGGGCTCACCGCTTGGACCGCTACTGGCTGATGTGTTCATGAGCAAATTAGAGAATACTTATCTGAGCGGAGTCATTACCAGTCTACCATATTACGGACGATATGTGGATGATATATTTTGCGTGACAGACAGGCACTGTTGCCCAGAGACAATTTTATCCCATTTTAACTCAGCGCACCCTAATGCCAAGTTCACCCTAGAAACTGAAGGCAATGACACGATGTCCTTCCTAGACGTTCAGCTTAGTAGGAGACCAGATGGATCAGTCCAACGGAGGGTGCATAGAAAAGCAACGTGGAACGGACAATATGTACATTTTGCCAGTTTTGTCCCAATAAATCAGAAACGTAACTTGATTAGATGTCTAACCGAAAGGGCCAGAAGGATTTGTAGTGAGGACACACTTGCGGACGAGCTCAGTTTCTTAAGTGGCGTTTTCGAGAGAAACGGCTATCCAGAAAAATTTGTTCGTAAATATATGGAGTGCAGAGAAATGAGAGCTAAACCAGCTTCGGTAGAGAAGAAACCGGTTTATTTGTCGTTGCCGTTCAAGGGGGATGGTATAGCGCAGGCAACATCTAGAAGATTACCCGACACTATGAGCCATACGTACTACGCAGCGAGCTTGCGGCTAAGTTTTACTTCAACACCAATCGTGAGGCCCCAACTCAAAGATAGACTTCCTTGGTCATGTACTTCTTATTGTGTATATTCCTTCTTTTGTTCATGTCGAGCAAGATACATCGGAAGAACTACTAGGAGGCTGTCTGAGAGAATACGCGAGCATTGTCCAGCTAATCTACGCAGTGGTGGTAGAAAAACTGTGATGAGCGCCGTGTTGGCACACTTGCTTGATTCTATTCATCAAATCGATACCCGCCAATCTTTCCAACCCATTTACCGTGTACCTGGACGCCTTTCACGAGCGGTAAAATGTCGCTTACTAGCAGCAGTTGAGGCAATTGCCATCCGCCACCAGAACCCAGACTTATGTGCTCAAAAACGGTTCGTTCAGATTCTGTGTTTGCCCTGGCCCACTAATCACAACGACTCATGTTGAGGGACATGCCGCCGATAGGTCATCGATCACTTCTGATCGGATTACTTAGCATTTTCATTCCAATCACTGTATTTGTTGGCGAATCACCGTAGTCGTTTTCTTTGGTATCGCAGGTGCCCTCGATTCGGTGGACCAATGTGCGCTTTGGGAATGTCGGTTGAGGATAGGTGTTCCCGATAAATACGTATATCGGTTCGGTTTCGATTGTTAATGGTCGGCTGTCGTCCCCCATGGCTAAGTGGCATAAGCTGCTGGCTAGTTGGCGTTAGCCTCTAGCGGTCATGAGTTCGATCCTCAGTAGGGGACCGATGGATGCGCACCAGTGACGAGCCCCAATAAGGCTCGTCAGGATTGATTTTCCGAATTGGTAGCGTACCTGTGCGGCTTGGAATCTAATTGCGATGAACCAACTCAAAAAATACGTATATGTCATAAGAGTTCTGTCACCGCCATTCAATATATCACGGTGTTAGGCTGGGTTTTTCGCTGTCACCTTTACGTTTTAACTTCACCATCGACGAAGTTATGGAAACTGCGTTCACTGGTCATGACTTCGAAAATGCGGAACTGCTCCCATATGATCTACTTCTTCGGGTATACTGACGACGTTGCCCTACGCTGTGACAGCTCCCAAACGTGCCAAGCTGCTCTGGACGGCTAAGCACTGGCTGCCAATGGTTTTGGGCTTTGCTTAGATCCTTCAAAATGCGAAGTCCCTCTTCAAGATTGGCAGGGGTCCATCGCTGCGCTGACTCTTCATGGGGATCAGCTAGAAGTTGTCAAGCAGTTCAACTATCTGGGCAGCTACCTTAGCGCCTTGGATTAGAAGATGGGATCACGAACCGTATAGCAAAAGCTCGAGACGCTTTTGCCAATCTCCGCCACCTGCGGCGCCGTGCATTCAACCCTCGTGTACGGTTGCGAAACCTGACTCACCAGATCAGTAGACCTAAGGAGGCTGGCTACTTTCGACCATCGGTGCTCGGTGGGTACACCGCGTGAGCAGTGAGTACGTTCGGTGTTTCGTATTTGATGAAGGAATAACGAATGAACCTTTCAGCACCGTTATATCGCGCATCAGGTTCCGATGGCTGGGCCACGTGTTTCGCATGCCAACACACCGACTCCCGCGACGTGTGTTATTTACGCCACCGGGTTGTGAATGGAAGAAAAGAAGGGCGGCCAAACGATGACTTGGTCAAAAGGAATGAAGGCTCTCACGTCGAATTTACCACCGGTTAGTGCCTGTTGGCTGCCGGATTGGGGTCCCAAGGATGATGAACACGTTTGGTTGGATACGCTAGTTGACATGGCAAAGAGCCGACCTCAATGACGTTTGTGTTGTGAATTTCTCTGTCCCACCCACTTATTTTCGCCCTCTAATCACGATCTTATACCCGATGCATAATATGATACCAAGCATAATATTACTTGTTTTTTGCTTTCATCTTGTGTTGTGTAATCCTTAGTATCTCGCTTTTTCATATTGTATCGCACTATGGCACAACATCTAAGGTGTTTCTCACCTTCAGCCAACGTGCAATGGTAATGAAGGAATAAAGATGAAGTATTAATCGCTCTTGCTCACTTTCAGTAGAGAGCGTCTGTTTTGCTCTTTTGAATTCCATCCATCTGAATCCCATAAAATGGAACAGATCAGTTTTTCACTTTTGCGCGTACACTTTAGCTCACTGTTCCAGGAGTGTGTCACGCAGACGCAGAAGAGAGTATAGTTTAGTAATCGCTAGGCGACAACTACTGTAGTCATCCACACAGAAGACACGTATGGCGTTTGAAGTGCACATAGTCATTTGTCACTGTTGCAAATGTAAATTGGACGCTTCTAAATTTGTTGTGTGGTCACCAACACTAATACGACGCAGCGATCATTGCAATGAGATTTTTCAGTAGGGTTAACCAAGTGAATTTCCTTTCTCATGTTTTCTAGCTGCTCTTCCAATGCCTCCTGGCTTACCAATGTATGTCCCTTTGGTTCAGCATACAATCCCAACCTTCCAACCCACAATGGCGCCCATCCCCCCCGGTCCACTACCGGTGCAACACAAGACTGTAGTGACCAATATTACTTTGCCTACCATTTCGAACACCTCTACAATTTCCAAATCATCTCCCAGTGAAATCGTGCAGAAGGTGATCACAGCTCCTCCGCAGATGGCTGGACCCGATGAACTAGCTGCTCGGGCCAAGGAAGCTGCTGCTGTTGCCGCAAAAAGGCAGAAATCAGTTTCAGATGATGATGACGATGACGTAACTAGAGCTCTACTTGCAGCAGCCGCCGGGGTCACTTATACACGGGTCCAGTGTCCCAACGGAAAAGGTATTTACTTGCTTGCTATGTTTCTTGTAGCTTTGGCCGCTAATTTTGTTTCATTTACTCAACAACATCATCATTGCGTTTCTTCAGTTACGTTTTGTTGTTTGTTTATAGTAGAACGATTCTTGCTTAGGATTTTCAGTTGACTATCCTACGGTGTCTTTATTGGTTATCTCAGTGAGAAGCAATGTTATTCACCTTTTTACTGCTTATTAACTTTAGTCACAATTCGACCGATAACCTAGTACCAAGCTCACTAACTCGCAACAGGTTAGTAGATATCCATTGAAAACATGTTCTCGCTTCCTGTAGCACACAGGAATTAGTAGAGAGACAGGGGACCACGAGATGCTGAATCTCAGTGGTTGGAAACATTGGATGTCATGGCCCGCAACCGACATCAGTGGCTTCAATGTTGTTCTGCTATTTTATCCCCCCTTTAATGCACACAAAAGACTCACGAAACAAAAACAACAAAATCAAAAAGCGTTTTTAAAACCAAAAAATCCTTTTCAATTTTTTATCGCTTCTCATGCTTCTGTTCTCTCCTTGTTTCTTCTGCCATGATCCTGATGGCACGATATCTGTTAACATATATATATATATATATATATATATATATAATATATATATATATATATATATATATCAACATCTGCAAATGAAAACGTAATGTGTTTACCTTGACTATACTTCAACAGAACATCTGATAAGGCATTCGAGTGTCTTTATGGTAGTCGAAGGGCCTACGCTGACTAGGTGACGATTTTTGCATGCTTATCAATTGGCCTCGTCAATACATGCTCCTCACTGCTGCTGTTACCTACCAAGTGAAAGTCCAGTGGGCATGAAGATGTTGACCGAAAAAATTAAATGGGTCGGTGCACGCCATCCTATTGGAAGTTGACTTCATGATCGGCTACATTACCGGTTTAATGCCCTAAAGGGCATGACATAGTGGTGCTTCTGAATTCCGTCCATTGCTTTGGTTAGTAACCCTTCAATCAAACGACTCAGACATTTTGGCCGCTTAAGCTAGCTGCATTTTTCTGCTTGTTCACTTGCTATTACCGTCGTCATACGGACTAGAGTGGAGGAATTGAAATGACTGAACGTGTAACTATGTGAAGCCCAATACAGTGAACGTTTCTAATTACAGAAAAAAATTGTATTCACTGAAGTTATATCAGGAATGTTGAGTCTTCCTCTTTGCGATCCTGGTAGATCTGATCTCGTTCCGAATAAGCTCCCAGTTTCAACCATATTCGGAAGTGGATGAATAACGCGAAAGAGCGTCGTCTAATCTGCTTCCGAAGGGGGTAAAAGTACTGTGACCAATGGATCCTTATGTCAACCCAGGAACTTTCCAGAAGAAGGAAGCTTGGTTATACTCGATCAATGACGACGGGGTGCACATGTCACACGGTGGATCAGAATACTCATGAAACAACTTTATGCTAAAGCTTCACATTACTGGAATAACGAGTCTTTTAGGGAAATTTTACTGTATCCCGGAGGTGAGATGTACACAGGGCAGTAGCTGGGCTATAGTCCGTTCCATACAGGATGTAACCACTCTTTGAGTCTTCGCGGTCAAGAAGACATTGCACCCCGTCTCCTCCAGCAACGACCAAAGGTCTCCTGGAGCCAGTATAGACGAGGTGGTGGTTTTCGACAGGTAGGCATCTTGCCAATGCTCACATGAAACGCAATCATAACAGTTATATCAATCATCAAACCCTAAAAATGCAAGATAATGACCGCACAGGTACATGCACAGACCAACTGCGACGACCATGTAGCACACGTACCATATGTGTCGCATTATTGGCATAGGTTAGTAACTAGAATCAGAGGCACCAAGTTGCACCGTGGTGCAACGCATTTGTCAACGAGAATTCGCCGTGTTTAAATACTTCAGGCGGGATCCCGTCGGATCTGGCACATTTGCCGTTTTGCAGCTGAGCAAGTGCTCTCTGCGTCTCAAGCACATCTTCATATGCTGTAGCAGCCCGTGCAACGTAGGCCAGTCAGTCTATGAACCGTTGTTTCATAGACAGTCAAAGTGCTTTCGCTACTTCTGCATTGTGTCTGCAATCTGTATACAGTCAGCGCCCGAGATTGAATCGAGCAGCGTCGTCAACGGCCTCAGCGTTGGTCCATACACCGCCTTCAAGAAATCAAAGAATTTTTGTGTATAATCATCGCAGTTAGACACAGGCAGACAGCCACCACACATCCAGGAAAGCGCTAGACGGCCGTTTCGTCCTATTGGGACTCGTCAGTAGCGCGCACCCGCCGAATCCTGCCGGATTCGAACCCACGACCTTACTCTTGCGAGTCAGCGACTTATGTCACTGAGCCATGGGCGACGGCAGCGGACCGCCATGACTGATATCTAACTGCGATATAGCGCGGCTCATCCTCCACTGTCTTGCATGTTATGAATGTGCAGAGGACAGGGCTGGCCCCAGAGCAACGACTTCCTTTGCAAGCCGCCACCAATCGAGGTGGTGACGAATCTACACAAAAACCTAATAAATCCCCTACTACTTACAAATAATTAGTAGGCGCCTTAGCAGCTTACATGACACCTGGATTGATGGCGGCTTACAAGGGAAGTCGTTGTCCTGGGGGCCAGCCCTGTCCTCTACACATTTGGTTTGATGGGCACAATGCGGCGATTGGCGCATTGGTGTCGGAGACCAATGCAGCATTTGCTGCACATGTCGCAGACCCAAGTGAATTTGGGAAGAGTAGTCAGTTTCGCGACTGACCCGATAGCTCCGTCGCATAAAAAGGCATGGTGGACGGAGAAGGCGAAGCAGATGGAATGCTATGCCGAACGCCGCCAACACAAGGAATTCTTTGACTCCTTGAAGGTGGTGTATGGACCGAGATTGGATCCGTTGAGGACGCTAATCCATGGTACTTCAGGCGCTACCTGCACAGACTGCAGACATAATGCAGATCCGGCAAAACACTTTGACCATCTTTTGCACAATTGCTCAGAGATCGACTGGCGTACTTTGAACGGTCTGAAGCAGAAGGATGTGCTGCTTGATATGTTTGGGAGCTGTCACAGATT